TCCCTCGAAAGACTTTGCTGGATGTGAATGAGCAGAATTCACAGTCAATTAATAAAAGAGGTTTTTTTGAGGGACCAGGAGTTTGCTTCATGCTCTTGGGAAGCCTCGCTCAGAACAGAAGCCATGATGTTCTTCTTCTGCCTGGACCTCATTTGCCTTCCATCTTTCCCTGGACGATTAAGCCAAGGATGACGCATTTTTCCGGGTGTTGCATCGCATGTCCAAAATATTCTAACTCTTGCTTTTTTATGGTTTTGATGATTTCCCTTGGCTTTCCCAGGCGGCTTATCCCCTCTTCATTTGTAATTTTGTCAACCCAACTTATACGTAACAGCCGCCTGTCAATCCACATTCCAGATGCTTTGAGTCTCTTCAAGTGGCCTTCTGTCAGAGACCAACTCTCCCTTCCGTAGACAGCAGGGTAGAAAAGATGTAGCATCCGACAAGCCTGATTTTCAATCTCAGGCTTATGTCGTGACTCCAGATCCTTTTTCATCTCGAAGAATGCTGTTTGAGCTTTCTCTATCCTTGTCTTTACTTCACTGGTCATGTCCCAGCTTTCATGTAAATTAGAACCGAGGTACGTGATCCTTTCAACTTTTTCTAGTGGGTATTCCTTCCGAAGTTATCGGTGGTAAATTAATGGGTTGTTTGCTGACGACCATGATCTTGGTTTTTGAGGTGTTAAGCTTCAAGCTGTATTTTTCAGATATTTCTGAGACTCTGTAGATGAGGAGTTGAAGGTCTTCATGCTTACTGGCAAGCAGAACTATGTCATCAGCGTACCTTAACTCAATTCCCGCCAGCCTCTAAAATTCCTAGCAGCCTTACAATAAAGGATGAGGGAATGGTTATGGCAACCGTCTGAAATACATACCAGGCTTCCTTTGCTCCCCCTGGCATAAGAGAGGGTCCGTATCGGGCTCCTTCTTCACCCCCACTTACGCCGCTCCCCACAAACAGGATGCCTTTTTCCTTGAGTTCCTTGCAGCGTCTCTAAAGGGGAAGGAAAAAAGGGGCAGAGAAAAGGAGAAAAAGAGGATTGTAAGGAGAAAATAATTTTTAGAATTCAGAATGAAGCATTTCCTCTTACAAATGTCTATGGAGATTCTCAGTCCTCCAGATCGTGGTTATCCCAAAGGTGCTATTTTTTTTTCCCCAAGAGGCAACTGGACTTTCTGATTTATTTTTTGAAGACGTTTCACTTCTCATCCAAGAAGCTTCTTCAGCTAAACGTCTTCAAAGAAAAACCGGAAAGTCCAGTCGCTTCTCTTTATAAACTTTCTTTCTGAAATGGGGAAAGATGGCTGAGATCAATGCTCAACTCCCAATCTCCCTGGACGTTTGTTGGGCTTAAGGAAAAGGAACTTTTCTATATATATAAAAGAAAAAAATAGCAGCTGAAATGCCAAGCGTGTCTTGAATTTCCTGAGCTTGGCTTAGCGGAGCTGGGCTTGTCCAGCAAGGCCTCAAAAAGCTGTTCAACAAAAGAAGATTCTAAACAATTCCATGTTTTTCAAGTGAGATGAGCTCAGAGCACAAGATCATTTCCCCCTCCCCCCTCCAGACACACACATAAAATTCATGGAAGAAGAATTGACTAGCAGAGACCTACCGTGGTGTCTCTGTATTCCGAATTTCCTCCATCGATAATGATATCCCCACGAGAAAGCAGCGGCACCTGAAAACACAAGGGGGTGGGTGGGGGTTGTGGGTCAGCTAAAAAGACCAAGTCATGTGATGTTGTGGCCCACCAGGGGGCAGCAGAGCTGGCGAAAGACTCAGATAGTGAGGAGGTTGGGGAGGAACATGGACCAGACCTGGAGTCTGGGAAAGGCTCGGATGAGGGCTCTGTGTCAGAGGCAGAGAGAGGGCCAGAGCCGTACGCCAGTTATCAGTTGCCTTAGGAGTCAGACATCAGTGAGGCAGAAGAACAGCTGGAGCCTGTTCCCAGTGTGCACATACGCTGAGCTGCCAGCAGAAGGGAACAGCTAAGGAACAAGGTTTGATTCTGGAGTAAAGGCACAAGTGGACGGTGAATGGCCCCTCCCATAGGGAATAAANGGTGTTTCTGCGCATGTCTGGGGAGATGGGAGGGGGGTCCTCACGCTCACCACCACCAAAGACCTCCGAGGCTGGGCGAAACGAGCGCGACTTACTCGGCCATGACGACGGGCGGCAGGCAGGCAGGCAGGCAGGCAGGAGGAAAAAAGGCTGCTCTTCGCGGGCGAGGCTTCCCTCGGTCTGGGCCGGGCCACTACGGAGAGGACACGACTAGGGGTGCCTCGCCCTTTAAAAGCGGCGTAGGCCGGCCTTTCTCTCTTTGCCCACGGGGGAAGTGGGCTGGCCGAGGCGCCCGCAGCGAGGAGGAGGAGGAGGGCCTGGGATCGGCTCACCTTCGGCCCAGCCTTCGCCGGAGCCGCCTCCCTCTATCGGGGCGGGGGGGAAAGTCGGTCAGCGCATGAATGAATGAATGAAACCCGGAAAAGGGCTCGGGGTTTTGCAATGCGCGTCACGTTTTCTTTGCGTTACGCGCGCGCGCTGGGCGCTTTTGCCGGGGACTAGGAATGGGTTTTATCCTTGCTCGTATGGGGGGAGAAAATCCGAGCTCCCCCTTTCTCTCCCCGTCCTGCTCAAAAGAGGCAGGCCCCGCTTTTCGGAAAGGGATTTGGCTTCCCTTGATCGACTCAAAAGAGCTCCTAAATCTGGCATTCCGAAAGTAGATGAGCCCATTGCGTTTCACCCGTCTATATAGTACCTATCCACCCGTGAGCTTGAATGGACTCCAGAGGATGGCAGAGCAGAGGAAGGCCTGGAGGAAAGTGGTCCATGGGGTCGCGATGGGTCGGACACGACATCGCAATTAGCAGCAGCAGCATTCATCGGCCACCCACCCATCTCTAAGCACCCGTTCCACCTAACATCCATCCATCCACATCATGTGGAAGGTGGGAAGAGGAGAGACTTAAGAGCTGAAGAAGCTTCTTGGATGAGAAGCGAAAGGTCTTCAAAGAAAAACCAGAAAGTCCAGTTGCCTCTTGGGGAAAAAAAAGCATCTTTGGGACAACCAGGACCTGGATGACTGAGAATGTCCATAGACTTAATAGTGACTTTTCCTTATTCTGTCTGCCATGGCTCCCTTCCACACTTTAGGTCCGCAGGGACCCTCAATTCATCCATATTGAAAAAGGAGAAATCCACCAACTTCTAAAGTGTTTTTTCAGCCCAAATTCAGGGTAGCACAAACCTCATCCCAACAATATTGCCTCCTTTGTGTTTTCCTCCTGCCCTGCTCCATTTTTCTGTGTCTTCTAAAGTAAAGGTTCCCCTCTTGCACACATGCTACTCATTCCTGACTCTAGGGGGCAGTGCTCATCTCCGTTTCAAAGCCAAAGAGCCAGCGCTGTCCGAAGACGTCTCTGTGATTATGTGGATGGCATGACTAAACACCAAAGACATGTGGAATGCTGTTCCCTTCCCACCAAAGGTGGACCCTAGTTTTCTACTGGTATTTTTACGTGCCTTCGTACAGCTAGGTTGGCAGAAGCTGGGACAAATCACTGGAGCTCACTCTGTTACACAGCGCTAGGGATTCGAACCACGAAACCTTTCTGATCAGCAAGCTCAGCATCGTAGCCACTGTCAGCTGGAAGCCAATACAGAAACCTCCTACAAGGATCTCATTCAAAAGGTAGCCCCAAAAGCCCCATGCCTTTGTAAATAAACAAGACAAAACAAGCACACATCTTGCTCATATGCTAGTTGTATCTTTATTGTTGTCCACCTTGCTTACTAACATTTCAGTGGTGCAGTTACCATACACAGAGTTAGATTAAGAGTATCTGCATTGCACACCTAAAGGCTATACAGCAAAATGGTTCCAAATTAGTACAAATACATGAAGTCTATTTACAGTTTGTATACCCAAGCTCCAAACATCAGTTATATTTACAAAATAAAACATGGGTTTGCCAGGGAGGGGGAGGGGACGGAGTGGGGTTTGGGACAAAAGGAGTCAAAAATTAACCGTAATGTCAAAACGTGTTTTGAATGGATTCCTTCCAACCGTGATGAGATCGGTTCCAAATGAAAAAAAATATTGAGAATTGGGTCCAAAAGGCCACTTCAGTTGGGTAGCAAAGAAAGGGGAGGGGGAGGTATGTGAGTGGAGTGGCAGGTCCCTGTTAAAAAACAAAAATACATCTGCAAATGCACAAAGTGAGTGGATCCTAACAAGAGGAAAACTGCAAAGCACAAAGGATTTGGGTCAGGAGTGTCCAATCCTGGCTACATGCAAGACCTGTGGACTTCAACTCCCAGAATTCCCCAGTCAGCCATGGCTGGCTGGGGGATTCTGGGAGTTGAAGTCCACAGGTCTTAAAATGGCCAAGGGTGGACTCCCCGGATTAAATAATCAATAAATAAGGAATTGGGCTGGGTGTTGCAAGCAGGTTGCTGCGCCAGGAAGCAGAGAAAAATCATTCTGCAAAGCTTCAAAATCCGCCCTTCACTTCAGCAAGTCTTCTTCAGCTGGATGGATTTGAACCCCACACCGAAGTGGCCATCGGAGCCAAGTGTAAAATTCCTCTCCCTGTTCCCTCTTCCCAGGGCTAGTGAGGAAGCACAGCACGTAATACATTCCTGACACTTTTTTTAAAAAAGTGTAAGGCGCTAGCCACCAATGAGGCAGAAGTAACGGTAGTGGATGACTGTTTTCCCCGGACAAACTGAGGTCCTGTTTCAGATACATTCAAGGAACCTTCAAGCAGCAAAGTTAGGGTTTTTTTTATTTTTAAATATCCCCGTTATTTAAAGCAGCATGTTAGAAATAAATAAAAAAACTGAACGGAAAAATTATCTTGTACCGCAATGCCTGGGCAGACACAGGATTAATTCATGGCGGATCATACAAGACGGAGAGGAGAAACAATGGAGGTTGAGGTTTTATGTACAAGAAAAGCCAGCACAAATACACATCCCTTTACCAAAAAAACCCCCAAATTAAATAATTGCTACAGTGCACCAGGTTAACAAAGCGGAAGGAAGGAAAACAACTTTGCTTGGAAAACACCATCAAGACTTCGCTTGGTTCTTTGTCAGCCCTTGTAATTTAATTTAATGTAATTAAATAACCAAAGGGGCACTGAGCAGAAGAACTGAAGTATGCTGTCTACAAAGGGAAAAAAGTAAAGGTTCCCTTCGCACATATATGCTAGTCATTCCCGACTCTAGGGGGCGGTGCTCATCTCCGTTTCAAAGCAGAAGAGCCAGCGCTGTCTGAAGACATCTCCATGGTCATGTGGCCGGCATGACTCAACTTTGAAGGCGCACTGAACGCTGCTACCTTCCCACCAAAGGTGGTTCCTATTTTTCTACTCGCATTTTTTTTTAACGTGCTTTCAAACTGCTAGGTTGGCAGAAGCTGGGACAAGTCACGGGAGCTCACTCCCTTATGTGGCACTAGGGATTCGAACTGCTGAACTTTCTGATTGACAAGCTCAGCGTCTTTGCCATTGAGCTACCATGTCGCTATATTGCAAAGGTAGATAGATATAAAAGGATGAATCAACGGACTCTGATTGAACGAAAGGAGTAGATGATTTTGAGATCACAATCAGGGTTCAGCTTCCACCATTTCTTTAACTGGGAACTCTGCAAAGGTGTCAACGGTCCATGGTCCTTGCTTGGAGCCGCAGGGCCTGCGCAGAGGGTTGGCTGGCCCGTGGCAGTGGCCTGCAGCTCCGGAGACCGGCCCTAAGAGCTGGCTGGCTCTAGGCCATGTCGACTGGTTAAAGCTTTCTACATCTAGCTTCTGCTGAAATTCAAATTATTTATTTTTAAAGTGAAGCACAGAGGCGGAGTTTCTTTCTCTGCTTTGCAAGAAAGCAAGGCTGGTTTTTGTTTTTTTTAGGATGTGTAAGAACTTCCGAAGGGGGTGGGGGAATCATCTTAATTCCCCGAGATCCATTTTAAATCATCGGCCGCACAACCAAATCCGGAGCATCTAAAATAAGCAACGGAAGGCAGCTTAAGATTTACACTGAACCTCTTGCTCACGGAACGATTAGCCCAAGGTGAGGAGGTGCCCTTTGTGAAACCTGTCAATTATGTCGTAGCCCTTCTGACCCCTTAATGCTCCTATAGAGAGCACTTTATATAATTCTCCTCTTGTTACATATGGTGTGGTTTTTCCAGAGCAAATTTTCCGACCAGCTTTGTTCCAAGCTCAAGAAACAAACATTACAGTACTGTAGACACACTATTGCCAGAAAATTCCTTTTTCCAGCTTCAGGCAGATTCCCTCCACCATTTTTATAGCTTAATGCTGGAGTGACAGTGTCTTTTATTGTGCACCAAAACAAAAAAAACTCGTTATTAAAGTCACTGCAAAATGCCCCTCCCCCCCCCAAAAAACCTGGTTCTTCAACGGGCAGCCTTGTAGTATGGATGTTGTATAGTGTCATCCCAGAGCTGAAAGTCCCACTGTTAAAGACTCATTTTTAGTGCAATATACCCAAAGCAATCAAATCAAATATGTAACTATGTCCCATTTCAGGATCCAAGTTCCTTTACAGGTTCCCCTTCGCTCTACGCTAAGGGCGTTCCAACTTTAGCAATTTGGAAGACCTGTGTACTTCAACTCCCAGAATTCCCCAGCCGGGGAATTCTGGGAGTTGAAGTGCACAGGTCCTCCAAAGTGCCAAGACTGGACACCCCCTGCTCTGGCACAGAAAATGCTCAGAAAATCTCCCCGACTCTACGTCACGGCAAACTCTGTGGACGACCACCGCAGAATTAAAAAGAGGGTTTCCCTACCCCAGATGAAAAGGGCCCCCACCCCTGGAGGCTCTAGCCAAGGGGATCCCACTAAGGCATTGATCTGAAGTGGGTTTTTTGGAGGGGGGGGAAGTTACACCCTGGGCCAACCCAATGGGATGAATGAAAAGAATTAAACCGTGAGTATGTTTTCTTTTACGTGAGGGGAAATTATATTTTAGCCTTTCTCTGGACAGACCAGTGATTACCAAGGCTCCCTTCTGGGCCCTTCTCTGCCCAGGTTGAGCCGAGATGCTAAAAACTGAAAAGAGACACACACAAACCCACACACAAACACACATCTTCAATTGGAGGATGGAGAAAGCTTGTTTGGAAAGCCCATGAGGTCAAGTTTTTCCTTCTCCGGCTTGCAGGCAAAAGCCGGGAGGAGCACACCCACTTCCACCATGGAAATAATGCCCTGATAAGCTAGTCGAGAAAGGGGAAGGCTGGCTGGATTTCTTGATAGGAAGGGAGCATTTAGCCACACAAGAAGAAGTCTGCCGTCTGAATATGAATTTCTTGTAGAATTCTGCAGAGGAGGGATGGGAATGTCTAGAACCCCTAAAAGGGAGAGAGATGCCTCCTGCAGGAGACTATCAGTGATTGGAGTGTTGCCTTTCTACCAGCCTGTTTTCAACTACCTTCCTGACTCAGGAATGCCAGAGAGAAAGGGAGGGAGAAGGAGAGAAAGGAGAGGGAGAGAGACAGAGGAGATAGAAGAGGAGAGATGGGGGGAGAGAAAGAGGGAGGGAGAGAGAGAGAGAGAGGAGAGATGGGGATGGAGACAGAGGAGAAAGGAGACAGGGAGGGGAGGGAAAGAGAGAGAGCGGAGAGAGAGAGAGAGGACAGAGAGAGGGGGAGGAGAGAGAGGGGGAAGGGAGAGAGAGGATACAGGGTAGATGAGAGAGGGGGGGGAAGGAGAGGGGGGGAAAGGAGCTGAGCTTTAAAGCAGGAATGTTTCTAAAAAATTATCCTTCGAAAATGGGGAAGGCAGGGAGAAAGCGGCGCTGTCCCTCAGCCCCTATGCTGGTTACATCTCCCCTTTCACCAGATGGACCCCATTTCAAGCCCCATTTCCGCCTTCCTCTGGTTGATTCTGCCAATGCGGAAAAACAGGGTGCTACATTAAGCCAATCCTCTGCCTACTTTCCCATTGTACCGGTTCAAATCCTTCAGGGACGGAGGCAAGATTCCGGCTTCCCACACCGGGGGGGGGGGGGGGGACTGGCTGCTGGATCTGCCTGCCCTTGATTCCACCCCCCTTCCTGAAGATCTGAAACCTGCTCATCTGAATCTGCCCCAAAGAGAAAGTTGCAGGCAGCCAAGACTGTGTTAAGTCCACCCTCCTGGTGATAACCGATTCCTAACACAGAGATCCAAAATAATGAGATCCCAAAGTAAATAAATAAATGCAAGAACCAAAGTAAAGGCAACATGCGCTGGGAAGGGGATGCCCCCCCCCATCCCAAATTAAAGGGCAGGAGCCTTTCCTGGTGAAACACAGCCTAGCTATTTCCAAGCCATCGAAGTTGGACGAAAAAAAATATCAAATCCTTGACATCCAGACAAAGACAAACACACCATAGAGAGCAGGACAGGTGACGTCACTTGGGATTAGGAACCAAGGGCTCATGTGGGAGAGAGAGGGGGAGGAGGAGTTTTCTTTTTCATTTTAACAAAAAAAGTCGTGCATATATAAATATGAATCCCCACTTCCACCCCCCATTTTCCTCCCTGCTCACCCACACATTTTCCCCCTCCCATCATTTCGTCTTCGGTTTGGCCACATGCGATTACTACTGTTTTCAACCCTTGAAAAGGAAAAAAAAATCATTAGAAGTATATTTCTTTTTTTTAAAAAAAAGGAAAGGGGAAGGAAAGGAGTGGGGAGAGAAAGAGAGGAGAGAATGTGGGGAAAGTGCTGGAAGTGAGCCAAGTTAAGCCATGGGGGGAGGGGGGTTAAATACAAGGGAAGGGAGCGACTCAAATATCACAGAGAAAAGGAGAAGGGAGGTTTTATCTTATAGCCAAAGATGGATTTGGGAGAAAATAAAAATTGCGCGAGGATTCCCGTGGGACTTCAGTACTTCAGTTGTCCAGAGAGTCTTCGGGCAAGTTTGGACCTGCAGTGGAGAAAAGAGGACAGAAAACGAGTGAGAATTGCCCGGCTGAAGGAACCGCACCCGGCAAAAGGAACACAACACAACCACACAGACTGTGTCTCCCCTAACCAGCAGGACCCAGATTCAAGTTTGAGGCTTTTCAACTCTGCCTGCTAAAATTAAGTCTGGGAGAAAAATACATCCTGCAAAAGTGGATGAATTCTCCAAACGTTATTGGAAAATAACTAAGCAAAGTAGTAATATAAATAAGGATCTTTAGTTCCTTAGGGTTTTTTCTCCTTATAATCATTTTGCTACTGAAACAAGCGGGGGCTGGATTTGAATCCTGAAGGAGATGGTTCACATAGAAATTATCTGATCTAGCTAATATAGGGAAAATATGTTGATCTGAGGTCCTTGCAGAACCTGCAGCACAACAGGAAACCTGTTCTGACCGAGGCTTCCCAAGAGCATGAAGCGGACCCCTTGTCCCGACAAAAACCCCTTTTATTAATTGACTGAATTCTGTTCATTCACCTCCAGCAAAGTCTTTCGAGGGAGGATTTACAGTCACAGACCTTCTCTGGCTTGGAGAGCTGCCAGGCTGATATCTGCGGAACTTGGCAAGGAGCCTCAGAGAGTCAGGAAACAATTAAGCGAAATAATTGTCTCCTGCAAACTCCACTCCCNGGAAGGAAGGAAGGAAGGAAGGAAGGAAGGAAGGAAGGAAGGAAGCTATAGCACATGGACTTATATATCGCTTCACAGTGCTTTTACAGCTCTCTCTAAGCAGTTTACAGAGTCAGCCATTTGTCCCCAACAATCTGGGTCCTCATTTTAGCTACCTCGGAAGGACAAAAGGCTGAGTCAACCTTGAGCCTGGTGAGATTCGAACTGCCAAATTGCAGTCAGCCAGCAGAAGCAGCCTGCAGCACTGCACTCTAACCAACAAGCAAAGTCAATGGAGGGGGAGCCAGATTGGCTTAGTGACATGATTCACTCAATAACTGCAGTGATTTGGCTTAGCAATGGTGGCAAAAAAAGTGATAAAACGGGGGCAAAGCTCACTTAACTGCCCCACTTAGCCAGACAAATTGTGGGCTCAACGGTGCCCGTAGGTCGAGGAAAACCTGTATAAAATGTGAAGGGCTTCAGTAGAAAGACTCACCCAATCACAGCATGGCTCTCCTGTCCCTACTTTGGCTGCGATGCTCTGGAATATTGTCTTGATGTGAGGCCTGCAAAGGAAGAAAACAGGGATGGGGGTTAGCAAAATGCACTCAACTCCTTCTTCTTCTTCTTCTTGTGCCACATCCGTCATCGGATGGTGGCAATCATGTTGGCGATCTTATTTTTATTAACAGCTGCACAAAAAAGTGCTGCTGAGTTTTGTCCAAATTGGGCCCTTAGATTTTGAAGATGTTTGGCCCGCCAGCGGCCAGCAGAGCTGGCAGCAAACTCAGACAGTGAGGAGGTTGGGGAGGAATTTGGGCGAGTCCTGGAGTTTGGAGGAGGCTCTGATGAAGGCTCTGTGTCGGAGGCAGAGTGGGGGCCAGGGCCGTCTGACATTTATCAGCAGCCTAACCCTAACCCTAACTGCTCCCAAAGGAAATAAAAGAGGAGCGAAAGGGGAGTGGAGTTTGCAGGAGACAATTACTTCGCTTTAATTGGTTCCTGACTCTACGAGACTCCTGGCTAAGTTCTGCAGATCTCGGCCTGGCAGCTCTCCAAGCCAGATAAGGTCTGTGACTGTTAATCCTCCCTCGAAAGACTTTGCTGGATGTGAATGAGCAGAATTCACAGTCAATTAATAAAAGAGGTTTTTTTGAGGGACCAGGAGTTTGCTTCAGGCTCTCGGGAAGCCTGGGTCAGAACAAGAAGGACTCATCCCACAGAGCAGCTGAAACTTGATTGGGTGCCGATGCCAGAGAGGGAGGTGGATTTGTTTCCCATCTGAGGGACAATCCCTGGCTTCCTTCCCACACAGCCAATGGGACGAGCCCGGCTGTTCTTGAGAGAAAAGAGTTGCGTGTGCCCCGTGAGTCACACTCGCCATGCCTTGTTATATATTCCTCTTCTGGGTGTGTCACTCCAATTGTTGTCTTCTACCTTTCGCTTCAAGAAGGGCATAGAGAAGTCAAGGAAAGTGAAATCAGACATAAAACCTTCCAGATGAACCCAGGGTCCATGACCCCAACGTCTTTGGCTGATGCCA